AAAAGCCCTATTTGTTTCAGCTACCTGCTCCAATTTGGGCTGTTTTCCAATTGAGATGTCCTTTAACTTGGAAGAACTCTTCCTTCTATTTTCCTAAACATTCCCTGATAAATTCTTCTCTTTTGCATATGGTAAGTTTTTTGTCCACAAGGCTTTTCCTTCTAAGCTTCCCTGGAGCTTCACACAGCCTCTTTTAGGAGATACCGTAAGAGAAAAGGCAAACAGAATTATAAAGTTGAGACAAATGCTGCCTGATTCTAAAACTAAAAACAAGATTCAGCCATCACTATCTAGAAAAACAGACCCTATTAATAATAATATGATGCTTCTGATACATCCCCTACTTTATACTTTGTAAATTAGCCTGCCATTCTCATCAGTCTCCCCTCAGGGTTGGCGAGAAGAGCACTGGCGCCCCAGGTAATATTTTTTTGGCAACCCCTCCCCAAAACAACAAAGCCAGTCCCCCACTGCTCTCTCCTCTACAGTCCTCAGGTTGCCCCATCTCTCTAATTGGTATTCATCCAACGCGGAACAGTAGCTATCAGTACTTGATGATTAACAGCCTTGTGAGACCTTGTGGTAGCAGCAAGAGTTGGCTCTTGTATCCACCATTTAAAAGGGATACTTGAATGTGAGATTCTTGTTTCAAAGAGGTACAGATGGATGGCATTGTGTTTCCACCACCTGAATGGGTCATGGGAGCGAGGGATGTGTGGTGGAGGACGTACACCAAAATCCCTCTGTGCAGTGTCCCTCCCGACATGGCTATATTCTGGGGAACTTTGAAAGCTTGATCTGATTCTACAATGCTCAGACATTAATAAATCACTTGACTGTTTAGTCTTGAGACACCTGTTTGTATTTCAGAGGGCCTTCTGATCTTTATGTTTTCTCCGTATTTTTTTTAATAAATTTATTTTATTTTTGGCTGCGTTGGGTCTTTGTTGCTGCGTGCGGGCTTCTCATTTCAGTGCCTTCTTTTGTTGCATAGCACGGGCTCTAGGCACGCGGACTTCAGTAGTTGTGGCGCACGGGCTTAGTTGTTCCGCGGTGTGTGGGATCTTCAGGTATCGAACCCGTGTCCCCTGCATTGGCAGGTGGATTCTTAACCACTGCGCCACCAGGGAAGTCCCCTCCCTGTTGATTTTTGTGCAGTCCAAACCTCTTGACCCCCGCCTCCCCCACCAACCCCAGATTTAGGATTCCTGACTCTCTGCATTCTGCACCAACTTCACTGAGTCATAGGAAATTGGATATTCATCTACATTTATGCTAGAGAGTAACCCAGAGTCACATATAGAATTAAACTCCTTTTCTGAAGGATCCTAAAGGTCTCTAGTTACAAAGAATTTTGCATGTCAAAATGATGATCCCACCATGTGGGGCTCTTGGCTTTGCACTGGACTTCGGCACTGGATTGCAGAAACATGTTTTGGGTCTCATGGAACTACCAAGTATGTTTAGATGGCACCAGACTTTATAAGCCACAGAGAAAATTGTAAATACTTTTGGATACTGGTGTACATGTTATAAATAATTCTGGCAGAGTTTTAATTCTTTAGGACTTGGGGGGTTTGTTATATTCCATTTTTCATTATTCATTTCCATGTGGCCTTATTTCTGCAAACACAATTTCTTGAGAAATGGAATTAGGTCCAGATTTAGCAAATACAAAAGGATGATTTGTGACATTTCTCTCATAAACTGGTTCTGAGCAAAGGCAAAATGAACTCATTTATACTTAGTGGAACATAATTGTAAATTTACACATAAAAGTTGAAGGGAAAATTGATACTTTGAATTTCACTGGTCTCTACAGTTGCTCTCCTAACCGCTTTAGGGTGATGAGGCCCCCCTCTTTCGGTCAGTCTTATGCCCAGAACCCCACAGGGCCCATCTACTGACTAGAGGAAGCAGTGACTAAGTGGCCCCGGAGACAAGTTCCTCTCAGTAGAACTATTTCTTTTTCGAATGCTTCAGACTCACCACTGTGCATTGGTTCTATAGAGTGACTCAAGGAGAAAGGAAATGGCTAATGTAAAAATAACTTTTTGAGCTATTCATATAATTATGTTCCCTCTGCCTAAAATACTCTTCAAGCAGCTTACAGGACACAATGGCTCACTCCCTCACCTCTTTCAGGTCACTCAATTGCCACCTTTTCAGGTAGGACCTCCCTGACCGCCTGTTTTACATTGCAGCCCCTCCACCCCCAAACCCTTATCCCTCTCTGCTTTTTCTCCAGAACCACTGTGCATGCACACAGACCATCAGACACACACACACACACAGGCACACACACACACACCCCACTAGGATGCAGGCGCCATGAGGAAAGGGATTTTTGGTTTTTTGGTCACTCCTCTATCCCCAGTTCCCCGAATAGTGCCTAGCGCAGGAGAAACGCTCTGTAAATATTTGTCGAATAAAAAAGGAATACAAATCCATAAACAACATACACATAAACACAATCTCAGCCACATTATCTGTGTAAAGTTCACACTATAATATTCACTTTTCCCCTAGACTTTGCCTCATTAGGACTGAGCCTGTACCTTTTAACCTGTTTTCCTCTCTATAGAAAGGTTTGAAGTGAGAGAAAATGCATTTCCTAAACTCTATACTTTACTGGAAGTAATTAGTTGACCTCCTTAAATGACTAGTCTATGCCTTTATTTCTTCAACAGGCTCCCTCTTCAACTCCTGAGTGCTGAATTCAGTCCCCACCACACCACATAACAACCCTGAAATTCTTCTCACTCAATCACTAAATCCAAGTGGATGAGTTTTCACTTTTGTGTGTGTCTCTCTCTCATGGAGACTAAGTGGCCTCCCTCATGGAGGTTACATGCTGGTGGGTCTTACCTCACTTTAATTCATTCTCCACAATGATGTCAGAAGGACGTTCCCAACTCTTTACTCGTCCTTCAGGTCTGAGCTGAAATGCCACGTGCTCAGGAGAGATTTTCCTCATCCTACAGACTGGGTTGGATGCCCAGGTCAGATGTCTTCCTGGTGTCCTGCCTTTCTTCATTATGGTCCTTACCACTCTTAAAACTGCTTAAGGATGAAGTTAAACCAAAGTATAATATGTGGCTTTTACTGCTCACTTCTGCCACGTGCTCACAATTCATCCCCATCGTGGCAACTTATCAAACCCCCCTCTCCCACCCAGTGCACTGCATGCTCTCAGCTCTCTGGGCCTTTGCTCACAACAGGAACTGGCATTTCTTGAGGCCTGTTATGAATCAAACATGCTAACAGGTGCTTTTAATATATTATCTCATTCAGGACTTAAAACAATCTAAGAACTTTTGTTTTAATGGCAGGCGACAGAAACCCTCACAGAAATTGACTTATGCATAGGGAGATTTGATTCATAATAGTAGAGTGCAGAAGCAAAACGGGGGTCAGGCCTGACCTCACTGGGGTGACAGTGAGGACCTTGGCACTCAGTTTCCCTGTTCTCACTTCCGAGATCTGCTTTCCTTATATTGGCATTTCTGTGGGATTCAGATGGCTGTAGAAGGTCTAGCCCAGTATAATTCTAGGTTCAAGCCTCCCCAGAAAAAGTAGCGAATCAAAAAAAGACTCAAAATTGAATCTTGCTGGCCCTCAAGTGCCCATTCCTGGACCAACCATTGCCATCGGGAGGACACAAGGCATTGAGTGGCCCAGGCTGAAGACACACATGTCTCCACTTGAAGCTGGGAGTGAACCCTGCCTCATGAGTCTCACCCAAAGATGAGAGACGGGTGGTTTCTCCAAAGCAAAATTAGCATACAGTTATAACAAGAAAAGGAGGTAAATAATAAATAACAAAAATAACTAACACCCAGTATACAACCCCATGATCATAAATAATGCTTCCCTCTTTTTTTTTTCTTTTTTTTTTTTTTTTTACAGTTTTGGCAATAAAGGTCAAGCCACTTGGCCAGGATCACAAAGGCCAGGTCTCTCTAGTATGACCAATGCTTCCTAACATCTGTCTTCTCCCTTCGCCTAGAAGGTTCTTACCCTATTTCTTCACGTGCCTAACTCCAAGATGTGCTTTGAAACTCAGCTCAAGTGTGACTCTCTTTTGGAAGCCTTTAGAGATGCACCTTCTCTCCTACCCAAGCTGATAAACTGAAACTCCACTGAGCAATCCCCCTCCTCCCATAATTTCCTCTCTGTTCTCCTTAAGCCTTGACTTCTTATTTGTCTTCACCAGAAATCTGTAATTTATTCATCTGTAGAACCCAGTGCTTGGAGAAGTGCTAAGTTTGTTGAATAAAATTGAGCTATCAGGGTACTTTAAGTGTCACAAAACCAAATGAGATAGGTTATCAGCTCCATTCTATAGGAGGAAACTGGAGGCTCTGACAAGTTATGTGTAACTCACATCCTCACAGGGTCTTGGGTGAGCCAGAATGGGAACTAAGTCACCAAGGATTGGTGCTAGGGCTAGATAACTTAGTTCAAAAAGGCTAAGATTAAAGTGAGTTTGAATCTAGGTTCTAAAGAATGCTGGGAGTTAAGAGGGGAAAAAGATAGAAAATTAGGATACTTGGAAGCACATGGACATAAACCTAGCAAGAAGGGGTCTGGGTAATTGCCACACAACAACAGAGCTGTTCACATTATCTCCAAGATTTATATTTACTGGCGGTTGTGTGGGATTGGTATGAAAATGTTGAGGAAAGGACTCAAGTGGAGGTCCTCTTCCTCAAAGTCAAATGCCGTTAACATTGTTTTTTTATGTTATAAAGCTTTTGGTTTCCTTAATCCATTTTATGGATTGTAGATGTCATTCTCATCTAACAGCTTAATTAATAACTTCCTTGTGTAGCTCAATCTGGAAAGATGATTAGGAATCAGGAATATTTACTGAAGTAATTCATCTCCATGTTCATGCTAGTAGCAAAAGGGCAGGGGAGGAAGAAGAGAATTAGGATGTGTATGGCTTCAAATACCATGGCTAACGGGGGCACCCTGTGTTTTCTGGAATTCAACAGGGCCATCCTTTGCTGTCTAGTCTATTTCTGGAAGAGCCGCTGAAGAGCTAGCTGCTAACGTCAGGTGCATTAGTCTTACCAGGCTTTCCAAGAAGGCACTGATGCAGTGGGCAAGAAGACTGCCTTCCAGGAACGGTGAGTTACAGAGAGAAATGACCCTATGTTTCCTGGGAGAAGGTAAAAATGAGGGGAAACATGAGTAAATACAACACAACAATATTTGGGCCCACTAATAATGTGACTTGGAGGACTTTTATATGATTCCTGTTTTGGGGAAACTGTTTGAAAATCTTTCACTGGCCAAGGCAGACCTGGTACTGTTAGCTAGACCGGTTAATTTTACATCTGTTCTAACACAAATAGCCAACAGGCATATTATTTCCAGATTCCTAAAATTTGGTGAACAGCAGTGGAATTAATTCTTGATTACACATGAGAACATGCTCTCCCCCTACTTAAATCCCATCGTGTTTTTCTACTATAGATGGCACACAGCAGAGCTTCTTTCACACTCCTTGATTTCTTACTAAGAAAACCTGATCCTTTTGAAAACTTGAACTAAAAAGTTTTGGAGTTTCTATTATATGATTGCTATAAAAATTGTGGAATTCACCAAAACTGTGATCCTGGATTTGATTTAGATAAGCTCCCAATAACAGAGCTAAAGTTATTAGCTCTGTTAAAGTTTGGTTTTCCTCATGGAGTTTACTCTGAGACTAGATTCTCTATCCAAGTCTAACCCAACTAGGGGAAGGGGATATATATATATATATATATATATATATTTTAAGTATTTCATTTTGTTAGTTTAGCATTGTATTGAACACTCTTCAGATTGTAAGAATAGCAGAATATCACTGGAATTTAGGCCTTCAGAGAATATGAAGTTGAATTAATTATAGTCCCTGCCCCCAAGATGTTTATAATCCAACAGGAGGATAAGACAGCAGGCTTACATAAGAGAGCTTCAGACAAAATATAATGTAGATTCAAAAGAAAAATATGGGTTGAGAGCTAGAGGTTGTTGCATTTGAGAAGGTTCTTGAAGGATTTTATGAGGAATATATTGAGGTGAGGGAGAGGAATACAGAGTTGTGGAGGATATCTCAGGGAGCAGGAAAGCATGGATACTCCCGTCCCATTGCCCATGGTCCTGAACATTGATCTATAAGAACTGCATGACTTATTCTTCTCTGAAAAACCAAACTGAGTGTTAAAACTGCTCCACAGACTTTTAAAATTTTACTCTGTTTTAATCATCACTGCCTTTGATCACCAATCAGTAAGCAAATTCTTAATGTGCTCTGGGCATAACAATCAAAAGAACCAGAATAAATCAAGCTAATTTAATGACTAATGTAAATATACTGGATCTTCTATTCATGATTCACTTTGCTATTTGCCAGTTGACTCCAAAGTTGTGGTCCAGGAATAGACAACAGGTAAGGAGATCTCAGAGTCAGAACCTGGCTCTCAGGCCATGCAAAGGTACTGTTACATAAGGCCGCTGCCTCAGCTTGACCAACAGATGATGCAGCAACCGCTCCCTTAAGAAATATTTGGAGTGACTATTTGTGAAGTTCTGTCACCTGATGTTCATCTTTCCTTTCCCACCGATATATCTTTCCATCAGTAATGTGCAGAGTAAAAGCAAGCATAACATAATATACAAGATCGTAACCCAGCAGAACTAACTATAACCAAGGAGAGGGGCTTCATCTAGTATGAGAGATGCAAGGGCTTAACACTTGAACTCTGAGATCCTCAAGTGACCGCCTTCTATATCTCTCTGTGTTGCCCTGCCTATAAAATGGGGCTAACTCAGCTCACCTAGATAACTCACAGACATGAAAGGAAGATTAATTATTCAGGGTTCATTGACTGCTTTCAATATGAAAAGCACGATGTATGTCACAAACAGAGGGCTGTAACTTCAGGGGAGGGGAGACAGTCAGCAGGCACAGATGAACATTTAAAAAACAAAGGCCCTATTCTCATGTAAATACGCAATAATAAAGGCTATGGAAAGAAAGCTGCAGGAAATGTAAACAGAATATTTTCCATGAGGAGTCAGCAGATTTTATCAAGTTAATAAATTATTACAATAGAGTATATAAAATCAAACTCATGCAGAATCAGACCAGAGAATATCATGTGTGGCTGCTGGGATTATCTGGTGGGAAAGATCTCATTGATTTTTGTAGAGCATTGGATCTGAGAGATTTTTAAATTAGGTAAGGATGATGACCCAGTTTGGGTGGGAAAAGCTTAGAGGTTCCCAAGGAAGAATACAGCCCAAGAAGTAGTCTCTGGAGGTACAGTTATTTTTAACCTTTCAGACCTGCATGACATGAAGAGAATTCTGAAAACTGAATGCAAAAAGGAAACATTTTAAGAACTTCTGTATCCATTTCTCACTGTCATGATCTGAGCAAAGATTTTAAAAGGACAAAGTTTATTTACAATTAAATAGGGATTTAAGGAAAATAAAATTCAGGTTGCTTTTTTTATATTTACCAGTATGTGAGGGAACAAAGTTGGGTGAATTTTCTCTTGGCCTGTGATTTGACTAAGAAAGCCCTGTAGGAAATAAAGACTATAAGCATCAAATACAAAACGAGGTAAGTATGCCAAATTAAAAAATCAGTGGAGACATTACAGGAACACTAAAAACTTTAAAAAGACATTATTTATCAGTTAGCTATTGCCAAAATAATGCTGCATGACAGACAACCACAAAAACTAGTAGCATATAACAAGCACTTGCTCTCATGGTTCTTGGGCTGGTTCTATTTCACATACGAGGCTGGCCTGTTCCACATGTCTCTCATTCTCCTTAAACCCGTGAGCTAGCCAGGGCATGTCCTCCTCATGGTTCCAGACTTCAGAACTGAAACTTCCACTCTATTCTGCCAGCCAAAGCGAGGAATATTGCCAAGCCCAAAGTCAAGGAGCAGAATATTGCCAAGCCCAAAGTCAAGGAGCAGGGAAGCACACTCTTTGTGTTATGAGGAGCCAGGATGTGAATGCAAGGAAGGATGAAGAACTGAGCCCAAGAATTCAAGTAGAATTTTGTTCCAAAGTTATATATCAAAAAGCTCTGGAAACAAAAGAAGTCCAGAGACAGAGATCAAGGTGGACCTGAGATACAGAAGTACAACTTTTAACAAAATATTTATGAAATGATGACGTGTTCAATTTCTTTTCCATCTATGTGTATATGTTCACTTGGGCATATAATTCTAATGGCTGACATCAATCAATTCTCTTCTTACTGATAAAAAGTCTAAGGCATTTTTCTTTTTAAACTTAAAGAACTTCATAATGGCTCTATAATATGGAGAGCTTAGCTTCTTTGAGAAGCATTCGCCACGTACTGAAAGGTTTTGATAGTGTCATTTCTGTATATCACAAGTAAACTCTCAAAAAGTGTTCTACCAAGATACTGTCTTCAACCGTAGAGGTGAATTCCATCTCCACGAATTTTGGGAGAGTTTCAAACTAATGAGGAGTGGAGGTAGCAGCCCCAGATTTTCTAAACCATCTTCATCAACTCAATAAAATGTCCAACAGGCTCTCAGAAAAGTTAACTACTAAACACATTTTTAAACTCAACTACTGAGAGAATATTTTCCACTTGCAATATCAACTGTCATAATGTCAGTTTTCATCTTTTATCACCAGAATTGGTTTTTTAACCTTAAAATATAACTTTAACCCATCAGATAGAAATAGTGATAACGTTTTGTGTGGGTAAAGAAACAAGCACTCTTGTACACAGTTGACTGGGAAATAAACTTATGCAGATTTTTGGAAGGCAGTCTGGCAGTGTGTATTAGTTAATTAACTGGTATGTAAAATTATCAGGCCCTTTGACACAATAATTCTAGGAACTTACAGATAACTTTGATAACTTCTAGGAACTTACCTAAAGTAATTAACTAAGTAGAAAAAGGAGTATATATTGGATGTTCTTTATCATATTGTTTATAGTAATAAAAAAGAATCTACTTAAATTCTTATCAATGGGGAATTTGTTCAATATCATGAAATATTAGGTAGCTATTAGGGTAAAACTCATCATGTTAAAATATCCAAGATGTAGTATTGACTGAAAAGTAGTAGATTAAAGACCAGAATATTACATATAATATTTTGCACATATTCATATATACATGTAAATTCCATATGTGCTTACGTATGCATGAAAACTTACATACCAAACATTTACCAGTGATCGTCACTAGGAGGAAAGAGTTGCTTTGGTGCAATAGGAAAATGGTTACCTTTTGTTTTTCTTCACACACTCCTACGTTATTTGAGTTAGTATGAAGAATATGTATTACTTTGATAGCCGTATTCAACCACAGAAAAACCTTTTCAACTTTTTTTTTTAATTATTTATTTATTTTTGGCTGTGTTGGGTCTTCGTTGCTGTGCGGTGTGCATGGGTTTTTTCTAGTTGCTGCGAGCGGGGGCTACTCTTCGTTGCAGTGTGCGGGCTTCTCGTTGTGGTGGCTTCTCTTGTGGAGCATGGGCTCTAGGTGCACAGACTTCAGTAGTTGTGGCATGCAGGCTCAGTAGTTGTGGCGCACGGTCTTAGTTGGTCCGTGGCATGTGGGATCTTCCTGGACCAGGGCTCGAACCCGTGTCCCCTGTATTGGCAGGTGGATTCCTAACCACTGCGCCACCAGGGAAGTCCCCCTTTTCAACTATTTTCACTTTCTCTGGCCTCAAAAATGCCTTTTCTAGTGGTTTTCACTTTTTCTGGCCTCCATGCCACCTATATACAGTCCACCAAAATCCCCCATTTGCAGAAACCAAAATATTCAGTTGAGCAAAATGTGTTACTGTAAAGTTAATGAAAGGTCAGTGGAGCCTGCACAACTAACTAGCCACCAGTAGTTCTGGGTCAGGTGCTGAACCCAAATGTGCTTTGGTTGAGGTCTGGTTTGTCTACTAGTCTAGACAGTGTCTACTTTTGGTTTAAATATCAATAGCTACAATTCTGGGTTCATGTCTGGCTCGGATTTCAAAGGCAGTGCCAATAACCCCAGTTATCTCCTACTTAATTGGTATCCATTTCACAGCCACGGAAATAAGTCTAAGACACTACTGGGATGTGGCAACACACTCTTTTTACCACCCTGCTTCCAAAGATGAGGTTACCTGCCACTCCCCTGGCCAGGTCTCCATCCCAAACCATTGCCACCCTCTTGCCCCAGTACAAGAGACTTGGCCTGCCCCTCTTTGAAAATGGGGCTGAGTGAGGACAAAAGCCAATGCCAACCACTCTACCTGATTTTACTTACTGTGGGTACCTTGTTGCAGGCTTTACCATACTTCTAAATCACAGGTCTCTAACCAGATTGTGTTCATGCATTTTTTTCTCCATGCTTTTCCTACACTATCTCCTTTCATTTTCCCTCAGGGAGGTTTTTCTCCCCACTGGCCCTTCAAGAGGCAGTTCAAATGCAGTCTCGTTCACGTGAAAGTCTTTACTGAAGTTGTAAAAATTTACATCCTTAACTCTAAGAAAACGCTTCACTCTCTTCTCTGATCTTGCCCATACTTTCTACTTCCGTCATTGCGTGAGAACACACTGTCTCGTCCTGTAATGTATTGTGTACATTTGTGCCTTCACAAAAGGTAGTAAGAGCCTTCAGTAACTCTCACCATCATCCTCATGCCTCACCCTCTTCTGCTTGCATTACACTTATGCAGCAAAATCCCAACACTGGGTCAAGCCAGCCACCTGCCCTTGCACTCCTACACTGAGACTGCTGAGGAATGGTTAAATAGCAATGCAGAGTGCTGTCAGGGTCCAGTGCTGTCTCCAACAGTAACTGGACCCTGACACTGCCCAGGGCAGCCTCTCTCATACTGCCTACATGTAGTAGCTGCTCCAAAGCTTCCCACCCTAGTCAAGTTCTCTGCCCCCACCAGGATCCTGCCTACCCTCAGCAGTTAACTTGGATTGCTCTTAGAGAGAGAGCCCACTCACCAGGACCTGTCTCAATCTCTTCTCCCTGCCATCTCTCCCCACCTTACACCTATGCATGGATCCACACTACAGTGGAGGCTGTGGTGCCCAGATCCCCTTACTGGCAGGTGCTTTTGTCCCTCAGCTGCTCTGAGAGCTGGTTGTTTAAAATTCACAGCTATTGCCTTCCCTGGAGAACTGCCCTCGGACCAACAAGACACACCTAGTCTGGAAGGCTATGACCGACTCCCCTGGTGGGCAGACCTTAACCGATGAGTAACTGGCACAGGGGGAAAGGCCAGTCCCCTGCCTCAAGGTGGGTAACCTTGTGCTGTAGCCCCTCCTTCCATGATCAGACTGACATTAGTTTCCAGTCAAGATCACACTCTTGCTTAGCTTTCTTCCCTACCCCATAGAGAAGATGCAGAGTAGTATCAGAAGAGGAAAAGATCTTAGGAGAAAAATGAGTTCTGTTTTTGACATGTTAAGTCTGAAATGCCTATGGTATTAAACTTCACATGTTTAGTAGGCAATTGATATTGAAGGTTTCAAGAAGTGATGTGCTGGTAAACATATAACTGGCTCTTGGTGGGGAGGGGGAATACATGCACACATATGTACATTAGTTTTTATACATTTTCCTGATATGAAAGATGTGTGGTGCCTAATTTACAAGTAATAATAAAGTATGTAACACTCTATTGTAAATTCCATACCACCAATCAGTACTCACAAAATGTTTTTGTTGACTTTTACCAAGTGCTTGTTGTATCATAGACAGCCTATAAGTGCAATTGACAAATGACTGCAGTTATGGTCTATATTTATGTTTATTTTATTTTATTTTTTTTGTGGTACGCGGGCCTCTCACTGTTGTGGCCTCTCCTGTTGCGGAGCACGGGCTCCAGACATGCAGGCTCAGCGGCCATGGCTCACGGGCCCAGACGCTTCGCGGCATGTGGGATCTTCCCGGACCAGGGCACGAACCTGTGTCCCCTGCATCGGCAGGCGGACTCTCAACCACTGCGCCACCAGGGAAGCCGTATATTTATGTTTATTTTAAGAGAAAGTGAAACAATGAAGATGTGGGTCAGAATTTCTCTTGTTCATCAATGATAGGAGTAATTTCTTTGCTGAACTGGATAATAATTTTTGAGTATCTCAATTTTTTGGTGTTACAGCTATAGACATGACACACTATTAAGTTTAATCTGCATTAACATTTTCTCAATCACCTTCTTAAGTCTAGACAATCAACAAAACAATAAATTAAGCCCTGACTTGAAGTATTTCCCAATTTCCATGGCATAAATATTCTCACTGTGGCAGTTTTCAAGTTACCGAGATGGTATCACTGAATGCGAGTTGGAAGAGATGTGCAGTGATACACCACTATCGAGTCCTTTCAATATACAAATACAACAGACATCCCAAATCTCAAGAGCATTAATAGTTTTAAAATGTAGAAAAATTGTTAGGAAGTAATGAGTTTTAAGTATTTACTACCTCTGTTTTTACTATAATTTATTTTATCATAAATTTACAATAAAGGCTGGGTTTAGCAGCTGGCTCACAAAATTCCTGAAAATTGGTAGTTCCCTGGCAGTCCCGTGGTTAGGATTTGGCACTTTCACTGCCATGGCCCAGCTTCAATCCCTGGTCGGGGAACTGAGATCCCACGAGCCACACGGGTCGGCAAAAAAAATAAAAAATAAAAATAAATAAAATCCTGAAAATTTAACAGTCGGCTCTCCTGAGGTAGCACAAGCTGGCTGCCGCACACCACTGGTTTAAAGTGAAGTTGAGAGGTCCGGGCTGAGACGTTAAGTGTATAGATAGTCGTCAGACCAGGGATATGGATGAAATTCCCCCAGGACGAATATATTTAATAAGAAGGTAAGACAAAGTAGTGAGGATGAAACCCTGGAGGAAACCAGCGTTTAAAGGCAGGTAGTAAAAAGTGAGCATGGGGAGGAGATGAGAAACTATGAAGGAGTAAAAAGGGTAGGAAGCAGAGGGCGGTAGGGGCAGGGCAAGGGCGAAGAGTGACATAAGAAACGGGGTGGTCAGCGGTACGAGATGATGCCAACAGGTGATCACAAGGAATGAAAAGTACCCATTCATTCACGGGATCATTTGTTCACTCATGCACCACTGAGAATTCATTTTTGCTGAGCACTCTGGAGTGCTTGGAAATCTAATATATTAAAGTGGGATCTGTTAGCCTTACTTGAGGCTGAGGACCAAAACACACTCCAAATAAGGTGCTAGCCCCCTTAGACACGGTTGGGGGATGTAGCAGCCTGGTGGCTGACTCACGCCAGGAAAAAAGAGTACACGTGAGAGGCGGGCTCAAGTGGTCTACAGCCAGAGCAGGAGGCTATGTTTGAGAAGTAGAACCTCAGAACCATTGAATGCATCCTAAGAAGGTTCTGCCAGAGGGCTAAGCGGTCTCTGCAGAAAGGCTGGAGGTGTATGTTTGGATGCAGAGATTACAGCTACCCATTTACTGTATAAAATGTTCTTTCCTTAGTTTCTGTGACATTTCTCACATTGTCTCACTAATGCTCCGTATCCACCCACTCCCCCCTCTGCTTACCTCTTTAGGAGTTCAGTCCTCCTTATGTTACTGAGACTCCTCCATAAAATTATCTTCAGAAAGAAATACTACTTCCTAGTTTGAGCGGAATATACTATTTTCATCTAATCTAAGACTCATCTTAGATCTGAGTGTCCAAACTGAAGTGATGTAATACGGCTTATCCTTTTCAGCCTGAATTTGCATACATCTTCCTTTCTCCACTGTGGCAAACTTATTGATGCGTCAGCCCAAATATGAGTGTACAGATCCCACCCATGCTAACCGAGGTGCTCCAAGGAGCTCTTGCTATCTATTTTTCACAGAAGACAAATTATAAATAATAATAAAGCCATGTCAGAAGCCCATCACCCCTCATGTAAGGGAACTGTCTGCTAGAGGAAATGCTTAGAAGCCAGAAAATGTTAATAAAGGAAACAGGTCTAACAGGCAACTGGATTGAACATGGTTGAGTGAATATTACGCAGTAAGGAAAGCCATTTGGAATGTAACAGTATGTTTGTGGAGGGTGATACAGAGCGGGGGAGAAGCACGAGGAAATAAAAGGAGCATTGTTAAGGTAGAATTGCCATGCAGCCAAGGCTACAAGAGAGATGTGAAGTGGAGAGGCTGAAGGAACACATGATGATAAGATCATTATATGTATCATATAGTTGGCTGTATGGGTGAAGGAGCAAAATAGCACATATTTTCCTAGCAAGTTGTAGAATCCTAATGGTTTAGCTCTGGGCACAGAATAGAGGATAACAGAGACCAGTGAGGAATATTGTCATCAGTGTCATCATTCTTCCCACAAAAATAGACTCTCCTAAGGAGACTTTTTTTTATTAACAAGGGGAAATAAGACAAAGTTAGCTTTGCTTACCATTTTATAACTACAAAATTATTGCAATACTCTAATTCATTAATAAATCACCAGCATAACCAGGCAACTACCCCTAGCCTACTTAAAAATGAAATGTATCCTTCTGCTACACATCTTAAGTATAGACATTGAAACAGGTTCACAATCCCTTATCTGAAACTCCTAGGACAACATGTGGGCATATACAGTATCTTACATTGGCACCTCAAGCAGAATCTGAGTCAGATAAAGACAGACTATAAATAACCTCACCATAAGTCAGGCCAGGTTTTGCAGCCAGATGACCTCAGGATAGGTCAGGATGGGGGAATTGTGGAGAAGGCACTGTGGGTCTGTTAAAAACCTGACTTTTATTTTAACCCATCTGTTTTATCACTTCATTTATGATTCCTTAATTTCTGCATACATCCTAATTCATAACCAAAATTTCTGATACTCTTTCAACTAATTTTTATGGAACGCCCATTACATATTAAGCATTATTCCACGTACCATGTGACCAGCAGTAGATAAAACCAAAGTCTCTCACTTTGGGGAGCTGACAATGACTCCCTTTGGGCAATAGGAAAATTCATAGATGAGCTATAAGTGATTAAAGAATTCAGTTTGATTGTTAAATCTTGTCATGGCTCCTAAAGGGGCCAGAGACCACATCCCACATCACACCCATCATATTTTGTGGTATTAATGCCAAAAGTAAGAATTTTATGATTAGGCTTGCTATACAGCTTTTTTATAGTTTTAGCAAACTATTTGGAATATACACCACATTTGTAATCATACTTCTCTCTTTCTAAAACTGCTTCTTGTGCCTTAGTATTTTTTCTTTGTCAGATTATAGCTTTATTTTCAAGAATGCAGATTTGGTTCTTTTAGATCATCCTCTATTTTTTGCCTTATTAGTTTATGATCTTATCTTTATTATTCCCTTCAGAATTCTTCCTTATAGTTATATTGTTTTATCTGCATTTAGTTTTGGCTTCCTCATCCATATTCCTGAGTTGAATTTATTTTCCATTTTTTTTTGTTTTTACATGAAGGCACTTAAGGCTATCAGTTTACTTCTAAGAACTGTTGTATCAACACCTCACGAGTTTTTGATATTGACAGCTTTTATTATAGCTCAGTTCTAAATGTTTTAAATTTCCACTGCAATATTCTCTTTAACTACAGATGTTTATTAATAAATTTTGAAGGCTCCTGGCACAGGTACTGTTGTCAGATAGTGACTTCTATAATATTGATTCTTTAAAATTTGATCAGACTTTTGTAAATTAGCCTAAGGTCAGTTTTTGTAAATATTACATGTACTTGAAAAAAATGTATACTCTGTCAGGTATAGGATTTTATATTTACCTATTAGATTTTCTGCATCAAGACTATCCAGCATGGTAGCCACTAACCAGCTGGGGCTACTGACCACTTTAAACGTGGCAGGTGATGTACTGTAAATGTGAAATACAATCTAGATTTCTAAGACTCACTATGAAGAGAATGTAAAACATCTCATGAATCTCTTGAAATAGCATTTGGGGCAGTTTGGGTTACATAAAATATATTATTAAGTTTTCCTGTTTCCATAATTTTAAATGTAGCTACTAGAAAAAATTTTAATTACATATGGAGCTGACATTACATTTCTATTAGACACAATCGTTCTCTATCCTTATTGTTGTCTGTCTGAGCCGAGATTAAAATCCTTTCACTATGGTTTTGGAGTTTTACATTTTTGCTTGTAATTCTCGGTTTTTGCTTTATATATTCCAAAGTTATTAAATCTTAAGTGGTTTTCCTATTTAATTAACTTCAGATCCTTTTTTATTCCTATTATTGCTTTTGCTTATAAATTCTACTTTGATATCAATATGCCTGTTTATTTTCTACCTTTTTGTTATATTTTAGTAATATCTCAGTAGGAGTTTAGCAGGGTTTCCCAATTTAACGTCTTTTTTTTTTTAATGTCTTTATTGAATTTGTTACAGTATTGCTTCTGTTTTATGTTTTGGTTTTTTGGCCACAAGGCATGTGGGATCTTAGCTCCCTGACCAGGGATCAAATACGCACCCCCTGCATTGGAAGGCGAAGTCTTAACCGTTGTACCGCGAGGAAAGTCCCTAATGTCTTTTAATAAATAAGCTTAATCTGTTTATACTTATCGTGATTGATGTATTTATATCTAATTCTATGATATTCTTTTGTGACTTTTTGCCACTCCCCCCCCCGCCCTTTTTTCTTCCTTCATTCCTTCCTTCCACTGAATTCATACATTTTCTCTATTTCTCACTTTTTCCTCTTCCTCCTTCTTTCCTGGCTCTTAAACTTATAAAATATATTTGTCTTTTTAACATGATGACTCATATTTTTTATACTAACACTTTTAACATTACTCTTACAATTTCACCTTAAAATTTTCCAACAAAGTCTAAAGTTTTTCAGTCTTTCTATTCCCCTGAACATGAAAACCCACTTGCTTCCTATCTTGTATCTTGTTTTTGTATCAGCTACCTATTGTTACAACAATGCTGCCAAACAAAGAAACACACACACACAGTCAGGGGCATACAACAAAAAACATTTACGTAGCTTAAGAGCCTGTGGGGTCTAGCTGGTCTGGACTAGACTTGCATCTGTGGTCAGCTGGCTGGTTGGCTGGGGGTTCGGGGTTGTTGGCTGGTGTTGTCTATGTTGATTTGGCTTTGCCTCTTATGTCTCTTACATTCCTGGGCAGGTTATCCTGGGCAGATTTCCATGGCAAAGGTAGAGGTATAGAGTGGAAGCAGAACTGCACCAGTGCTTTTACAGGACTCTGCAAGTTACATCTGCTAACGTCCCACTGACAAAATCAAGTAACATAGCCAAACTCAGAATCAAGGAGGAAGAAAATTAACTCTGCCTCTTCAGTGAGGAAGTGCAAAATCACATGGCAAAGGTGCATGAACTCAGAGAGGGGTAAAGAATTGAGATCATGACTGCAACCAACCTATCACATTGAACTTTACCTTTCCTTTCCATCCCAAAAAGGGTGATGTGTTTCCTATGAATAAATATTTGACAAATTTTATGTAATCTTTTTTTTCATCCCACACCTTCTTCTGAATTATTTTTTTGCTGAAGTACATCTTCCATGGATGATAAACTCTCTTGGTCTTCGTAAGTCTGAAAGTGTTTCTATTTTGCCTTCACTAAAGAATGCTAGTTTTAGCTGGGAGTAACATTTAGGCTGACTTATTTTCCCTCAGTATCTGACTCCTCTGTTATCTTTTGATTGTTGCAGATAATTCTCTTGTCTAAATTTTATTTCCTTATAGGTAGTAATGTGTTTTTTCTCTCAGGTAGTTTTTACATGTTTTGCTTTTTGAACAGGATGATAATGTATCTGAATATGGATTCATTTTCCTCTGTCCTGATTGGATTTAGGGAAAATTAACAATCTGAGTATTAACAGACTGAATTGTGGAAAACTGTCAGCTTTTATTTATGTATAGCTTTTCCAGCAATCCCTCCATTGTTTTCTTTTGGAGCTACCTTATTAAAACTCTGCATTCACTTTCATATCTCGTCAATGTTCCTTCATTCATATATATTTCAGTGTTTTTCTTTCTTTGTGTTTTGGGTATGAGACAATTTCTCACACTGTCATCTAATTCACACATTTCCTCTTCAATTGTGTCCAGCCTACAGTTTACACCAGTTGAGCTTGTTTCAATGATTATATTTTTTACTTGTAAGATTCCTCAGTAGATTTTACATATGTTTCATTTCTCCATGTTTTTGTTTTGTAATTTCATATCCATTTCATGATGTGACTGGATATATTTCCTTTAGCATCTTAAACATTCATATTTTAAAATGTCAGACCGGTATACAAAATTTAATTTTATGTGCTGGGAATACATGTTCTGCCAAGAGATCCTGACATATTTTGAAATTTTAGTTCATGGGCTTAAAGTAGGTTTTAGTTGTATTTTTATTTTTCTCTCTTCCCCACCCTTCTTCCTGTACTTCCATTTGTACACCTGGACCCCTACAGGGAGTCCAGAACCGAATCTTTGAGAACTTCTTTCCCTTCAGTGATTGTTTTAGGACTATTTTAGACCTAATTACCAAGCTTTGGAATACCTTGGTTCTGCTCCATATTAAGATGCTAAATATGTATTTTCTAGCATCATTATACTTAGCTTCCTCAAAAGGAGGCCCTAGGTAGTGGTCAGCAGCAGCAAGCCTTTATGTGTGAACAGTTGGGAAGAGTCACATTCTAGCTGCCTCTGATGTCAAGCAGTTAAACTTGGCTCCAGTACCCAATCCTGTGTGATATTTCTAGTTTCTACTACTTCATAGGAACCAATTTCTTAAGTACCGCTATCTGCTTCTAGACTCAGAACCCAGGTTGTCCATGGTTTCAGCCTCACTCACCGATTTACATTTTTATTCTATTTTTGGTTCCACAAGATGCTTAGTTTGTTTGAGCCTGGCTGTCTCTGCTTCGGTTCACTTTTTTATTTAATAGTAGTAGTAGTACTAGTGTGTGTTAGGAGATAGTACATCAAAGCATGAACTATGCCTTCTTGATCAGAAGTCTACATGGAATGTTCAAACAAACACAAACCCACATATACTCACACACCCCAAAACAAACCATAAAAAACCCCATACACATTCTTTCTGGCCTTGAGTGACTGATCTTGTTCATTTTCTATTTCCGAAGAAACTTTTAAGTCAAATGACATATTTAGTGATACTAATGACTAAACATAAACTGTTACCTTCCAAAGACTGCTGTAAATTACGGTTCAAAGCCATTTAATCATGGGAACGTTTAGGTATATTTTATGTCAAAGAACCAAAGAGTTAAGTGCCACTGATTTGCAGCTTGGAATTCAATTTCTTCTTATGAAAATCCAGTTATAAGTTACTAAAACTCAAAATGCTTTTGGGGGGGCATGGAGGATGAATGACTTTCAGAATAGCCTGAGAGTCGTGAATAAAGAAAAACATTGCTGTGTTTATTTAGAGAGTATTACCCCTTGGAGCCAGCGTTTGCAGTAATGCATTTTACATTAGCGTGCCACATCAGGAAATCCTGACTTTTTTTGGTGCCAAGGGGGTAATTAATATCAGTTCATGTTCTCAAAATAGTTGTGTTTATGTGGGAATGAGGACTGAGCACTAACATGTTGAGCTTGAAGTATGAAAGCTTGCTGTGAAGCAAAATCTTGGAAAAGAATGGAATACTGAAATTAATGAACAGGAAATAGGATTTCTATGGATAGAATAATATTAGGACCGAAAAGAAAGCCACAGCCACACTTCCTTGTTCTTAATTTACTAAGCATTAACAGAAATAACTCCCTAGTATAGTCATATCAATAGAAGATAAAATCCTTGATAGCCATGAACAGTATTTTGATCCATGATATCAGGAGTCTTAAAAGTGAAAAAATTTGATGTGTATGAAAAAGTATATGAAAAACGATCACTATTCCAAAATATCCTTCCATAGCTAATATAGTTACACCTCCTGTAGACAGTAAATTCTTTATATTTGACCTGAAGCTGAATAATAAGAGCTACTACAGGTGTAAAATCAGAATGCTTTTACTATTATACATCTTTTTTTTCCCCCAAAAGAAAAGTTGGCATGGAAATTAGAATCAATGTACACACTTCATATAGTGAAAATCAGAAAACTAAGGAAATATCAAGAAAACATTAGAGAAAAAAGTCCGAAGAACAAGTTAAAGCAGAAGAAGCCAAAATAAAGTTAAAAACCCAAGAGATTTTATAAAGCCCTACCTAACGTAATTCTCAAAATAAGTACTTAGAAACTATAAAGATGCCAAAAAAATAATAGTATGTATATTTTTCCCAGTATTTTAAAATTAACTAAATCTATTGTTAATAAACATAGCATTCAATTAATTCACGTGATGGAAAGCAGAGGATGATCTTAAAGGAAATATAATGGATTCTGTCCTGTTTCATTAGTCAAGAATATGAACTGAATGACCATGAAGTACACACCACACACAATACACTAATCTGTCATTCCTAAAAACTGTGACCCCAGACAGACTATGTCGTAGGGTAGTATGAACTGGCCCTCCACTACGTGACCCTACGTTAGAGTATGGGGTTTGCGGCTGTAACAAAGAGCCTAATGTGACAGAAGTGTTACTTCTCTCATGTCAACATCCAAGCAGATAGGCAGTAGGGAGATTCATGAGGATGGCCATTCAGGAGACTTTTCATTCTATCTAGCTGCACTGCCATTGTCTGGAGTATTTTTCTAATCTAGAAGGCCAGACCTCCCCATTAATACGTCATATGCCAGCCCTTGGGAAATGAGAAAAAGAATATGGAGCACACTTTTAAAAATGTAATCTAGAAGCTACACATATCACTCCAGCTCACATCCCACTGGCTGAACTTAAAGTCATGACCACACCTAGCTGCAAAGGAGGCTGTAAAATGTAGTCACTGGGTAGGCAGCCATGTGCCCACCCAAAACCTGGGGATTATTTTTAAAAGGAGAGGAGAATATTGGGGAATAATCAGTATTCCCTAACAGAGACCAAATATATTTGATATCTCTCAGAATATTTCAAGGTTCTTCATTCAGGTATTTTAACATCAAATAATTATTTATAATGTACCATCTCATGAAAAACCTCTCAGTAGGTTATCACAGTTAAAGATTATAGTCTAAACATAAATGCACTGATCATATCTAAGTTCTGAAACTAAACATCTCTATCAGGAAACAGATAAAAAAGAATGTACAGGCAACACAAGATTGGCCATGAGTTGCTAAGTGCATAAATTAGGTTTCTGGTACATGTGGATCTTTATACCATTCTCTCCACTTTGATGTATGTCTGAAAATTCCATTAAAAAATTAAAAACAAAACCGAAAACAATCTGTCACCACAACTCTACAGAATAATGCTAGCATCTTCTCAAACAACTAAACTAGCACAGTTAAATACTTTTAAATGTTGATCAATAATCACCCTGCTCTCTTCTTAGTAATATTTTGCTTCTGAAATTTCATGGGATGGTATGATATTTCTTCGTAATAATACATTTTGCTAAAATGAAACTTCCAGCTTTGGAATATATATAGTCTATATGGCAGTGTCACACTTGGTAGAAAGCTATTGGTAAAGTTATTCTTCTTACGAGGTGTCAAAGGAGTAAGGTAATTTTTGTCACCACCAATTAAAAACTTTTACGAAACAGGACTGTTATAGAACAATTAAACCTTGCAAATGCACTAGTCTCCAGGAAGAAAGTCCTGGAGGAAATTCTGCTTATTAAAATTGCAATTTTAGTTTCCATTAAAAGAGAATAAGACAACAGAAGATGGGCTGGCAAGACAAATTATTTCTTAATGTCAGTTGAGCTTATTTCAAATGAGATAGCATATCTACACCAGGTTGGGTTCAGTACAATTTTGTCTCTTCAACTCATTTGTCTAATTCAGTCATCTTGATTATGGCCTCATGGACTTCATTTTCAGAGAAAGAATTCTGTAACAAACAGCCCACACACATGCTGATTACTGAACAGTTAATTCTAATTAACTTGGGCATGACAGGAGAATTTTGATAAAGTCCTAGAATACAAATATAGTCTGCTTATACTAGGCTAACTTATATAAAAAACCCACAGCATAGTCTCCAGACAAAACAAGAGAGTCAAAGAGATCTAATTTAAAAAAACAAATGAGAAAATTAAAATCACAAATAATTTATTCTTCCGTTAGAGTTGATACAGTTTTAAATAGCAACAAAGTACACAGTGGTGGAAAATTGGCACAGAACCTAAAAGCGTTTCCATCACAATAAGGCTGTCCATGCTTTATGTGTTCAAACTTGATGTCCATTTTCTACTGACCATGTTGAAAAAAACCCTATTCTGACCTTAAAACACACACACTCTCTTTCATACACACACAGAGACACATTAAAATTTCTCCTTTTGATTACAGTATGTTGAGAACAGTACATTTTGCTTATTCAGATTTATCGCACCCCTTCTGTTTTGTTTCCAGTTAGAAGTGGGGAAAAAACAATTCAATTATAAAGAATATACCTTATTCCCTGGGCACAGGCAACTGTGATGAAAATAGCAACTTACCTTTGGGCTAGATCTTTTCAGATTATGCTTAAGTAACTGTGGTTATAAACTTCTCAATGCATGATTTCCTGCCCAATGCAATATCCCTGAAATCACCTAAAACAGTCAGGCACAGGACAGCCTCAAATATGATTTAAGTATACCATGCTAATAAACAAAGGGATCTGAAATGCAACCTCTGTGCTTTTAATACAGATCAGAATAAACATCATCAATAAGCGTTTTCCTAAACATCTCTATGTTATATTAACCAACATAAAAAAGGGAAAAACTTAGAAGTGTTCCTTCCTTTATAAATGGCATTATTTCCAGTCAGTAAAGATTTGTAAAGTCTCCTGAACTATTCTTATCATACAAACCAATTATCCTTCTAATGTTAAAAAATAAAATTACTGAATCAACGTTGACTCTTCTTTGACATCATTTATAAAATGTTTTGATATTACTAAGTTCCCTGATGACTCAAACAAGGTAAAATTAACACTTTTCATTTTCAGTTATTGCTCTTTTAGGAGAGGATTACCACTTCATTTACATGAAACTGTTAGCAAGATTCTTCAGATCCAATATGAAGTAATTCTTATTGCCTCACATTTTAAAACTGTATTATAAATGATCTT